AGGTACCACTCGAGTCAATCGGTCCCGATCTTCTTTTAGGTTTGTATGGTCTCACGTCCGGACGAGCAATAATGAACCCGCATTAGGGGAGAAATCTTCCTTTCAAGGGAGAAACAACTCTTGAAAATATACCGCACCCGTTATTTCACACTGAACAACTCATTTTTCATTTCTTATTGGTAATTTCTCAGACAATTTACCCTGACGATCAATATAGTTGAGGGAAAATCATTATTTATCATCTTTTTTTTCAATCGCCCACTTTCTGTTCGTCAATTTGTTTGTTTAGATTGTACACATTTATTACTATATATATTAATCAGCAAAACAGGTGGAAGTGAAAATATATATAGATGTCTAAAAAAATCCGCCGCATAGCTTAGCTTAGGAAAATTCTAAATTATTTTTTTATTCAATTTTTTTTTAATTAAAAATCTAAAAATATTTTTTTTTTAATATTAATACATATATATACATAATAATAATTTTTTTATAAAAAAAAAATACTGAAAGTACAAATATATATAGATGTATATAACAATGTACATTCGTGGTAAATAAAAATAAAATATAATAAAGCATTTATATTTTTCTATGTCCCAGGGTCGTGGATGATAAGAGAATCCATTTTTTATGGCTTTAACAATTTTCCTTTTAATTCACGTATCTAATTCCCTTGAGGGTAGACACACTCTTTCCAACTCTTCAATCCTCTGAATATCACGAGCGAAGGATTATTCCTAAACTAGCGAAGAATCGAAAAAATGTATACAATAACGGAAGGCGAACAGAAAGAGTCCAATAAACATTAATGTATGCGAGTGGTTGTCGGGCGTGACTATATCCCACCTACGTGACAACGGCGTGAACCTGTCACAAGAAAAAGAGATATAATAAATCCAGTCGGCCATGATTCGAGGGCGAAAAGAGGAAGCTGATGAATCAGAATGGAACAGTTTTTTTTTTTCATCCACCGAGTGAGATAAAGAGGCGAGTAATTTCGTTACAAAAGCACCCCACACGTTGGACACTGCCATCCCTCCCCGTTTTCTGTTTTTTCAGCATTTCATTTCATATGTAAAAGTGGCGGGAGGGTCAGCTGGTTCTGAATACGATGTTTGGTACGTGAAAAAAGAAGAAGTTGGGGCGTGATACTGAATCAAGACGTGCAGTAATAAAGGATGCTGATGCTCGAAAGGAGCGTGGGATAGAGACTTAAAAATTTTTCAAGTAACTTTAACCTGTTGAACAATGAAGTGAGGGAAAAAAAAAAGTAGCTGAGATGACCCCGTGAGAGGCAAATGGGCATTTCATGGTGAACACGATATATGGAAACCTGACCTCTGTGGCCATGTCTTTTCGGCTAATTTAACTGGGCAACGGAGGGTTGCATTAAACCGCAGGCATTATCGGTGAACATCAAAGGGAGAATCCAGTGCCGAGACAATGAGACGTGGAATAGATAGGCTACTGAGAGGCTGCAACCGCGTACAAGATAAAGATTGTCGGGGAAAATATTGGGTGGATGGAAGAAAGTGTGCACTCACCCGGTTTGCTGTAATCCGCCTGGGCTTTTTCTCAAGATCTTTTTAAGATGATGCTACTGGACACAATCCCACGCTTTTTACATTTTAGTCCTATCCAAATACAGGTGAACAGAGTTTTAGGAGTGGATGAGAAAATTTTGGGATTTCCATGGAATTGGAGTATTGCAGAGAAAAATCCAATAAAAATTATCAGAAAAAGGAATTGAAATGACATTTCGAAAAGTGCGAGTTGGAAGTGAAATTTTAACAACTGTCACGTGAATTCGACGATCTGTTTCTTAAAAATTCGTCTTTCCATAATTTTTTCTCGCCGATTGGGCAATTGTAGGGATTTTTTATTGGTCAGACCCAGTGAGGCGTCAATTTTCATGAGATTTCACTTGTTGGGGTAAAATTACGTGACAATCTCGCCGATTTTTCAGTGATCAACTTGAGAAATTCCTGAACGTTTCAGATTAATTTCCCTCCATGCCCATAAAACTGCCGGAAAACGATTGCTTCTTCCATATTACGTAAATAGTTCCATAATTCTTCCAGGACAGGACTTGAGTGAAAAAACCTGAAAATTGGCTTGAATAACGGAATTGATTTGAGTATTCGTAAATAATGATGTTTTACCCATTAACAACGTGTAACACTTTTATGTATAATTTTTATGGATATGCCTCAGACGATTCATTACAAAATTGACAAAAGTCATGACTCGACTGAATTATTAAGTAGTCACTTGAATATATCAATGCGCCATTTGAATAGTGGTACAATGTCAAATAGCGAATAGATATACTGCGCTTGTACGCAATGATTTCGTAGCATACAACATCTATTAGCGAGTCATGCGCTTCCTTGACTCCATCAACACTGACATTTGTCAGTTCATACTGTGTAACGTCACGCAGAATAATAAAAGACCCTCACTTTCGCTACCTCCCATGTACCGAGACATTGCACAAGCCATGAAGAGGGATAATGTAAATAATCCCATGATGGGCACTCGAGTCTCGTTTTAAATGATAATTACGTCTATTCACCTGTAATTGGTGTCTCGGAATCATTAGGTTAGGGGGAGGAGAGGTGGAGCTGGCATTTCGAGTTTTGAAATTCAAATTGTCATTGAATGAAACCGACTGTCAAGAGAAAATGTGGGGCTTCTGGTGGTTAATCCCGTTCCTTCTTATGAATCGGTGGGACTTCCGATGCCTCGGGCAGGTACAGCACAATGAGACTAATCCCAAAAATTAATTCCCCACCTTGTGTGCCAGGTGTCGATCGAATATACAACACTCGTTACCAGTTTTATAGCATCTTCGAGCCAACATATGTATGCATGTTACGTCTCCTAAGACGGAGATCCGACGGTAATTAAAATAAGCGTGACGAGGACTAAATGCTTCCGCTCGAAAAAAAATATTGTTGGGTAACCCTTTTTTCTAGCCGGAAGAGAAAAAAATTCGGGGGTCGGAATACAATTTTTTTCTTCATTCATATTCCTCGGTGGGATGTATATCAATATATCAGGGACCGCTGAAAAAAATACGGAAGATATTAATGAATTTTATTCCAAACTGTTGTCTCATCCGGAGGGAAAAGTGATTACGGACTAACGAAAAATTCGAGGAAAATTTCCAATAAATTTCCAATAAATTTCCAATAAATTTCTGGTGATGAGTACTTTTTCTTTCTCTTCAATTATCTATTGAATTGTTCATTTTATTCACACGTGTCACCTAGGGGTTGCACACGAGTGTATTATTATAGTGAAAACAGTGAGGGTCAAACTCGTCGACTTGATGTTCCACGGGCTACGCGAATTCCTGACCCCAGGGTTCAGGTACACACAGGACGAATATAAGACGAGTCTTGTATATGAGGTAGAGATGAAAAAAATGCGAGATGTGAGGAAGAGGAGAAGAGATACCTTAAGAAGAGAGAGTGAGGTGTGGGTCCTCGAAGAGCGAACGAAAACCGCATTCCAATCCGTACGAATTCTCTGCACATGCACATATCGACTCCTTTCCCAAGTATTCTACCCCCAAAAGTCAAATTACGATTTACCTCAAACACAATGCCTCATAAAATTATCCTGAAACAGCCGCTGTTTTTTTTCCTGGAAAAATTCCACTCATTGTTTCACATTTCTTCAGTTATTACTGCTCTAATGAAGACAATGGAAATTACAGCGTATGGAATATTGTCTTGGATAATATTGAAATCGTATGGAAGAAAAATATCACAATATATCAGCATTAAATATTAGTGATGATAAAAACAGTCTGCTTGAGAAACTATGCGAGTAATCGCTACTCGTGGTGCCACTGTCTGTGGTAATCACTGGTAATCGTAGGGAAACCAGAGTAATTATTGCAATCGTATAATTACCACATTGGTAATCAAGTGGTAGTCATTGATAGTCGCTCTCATCTTTTAAAAGTAATATATAAAAACCATTTTTTTATATTTCTACGGTAATACACTGCGAGAAATGTTCAATAAAAATTACGTGTATTTTCCGTAATTCTGGAGCGAAATGTGATTGTCGGAAATTTTACGAAACTGTCACGTAATTTTTATCTAAAGTCACGGAAATTTTCCGCGGTGTTCCGTAATTTTTATCTGAATTATCGGTGAAAAATAACGATACCGTCACTTAAATTTTTCGAATCAACTCCGTAATCGGTAAGTGAACTGAAAGTTCCGTAATTTTTACTAAATATTTCTCTCCGTGTAGGGATTTGGTGAGTATCGAGTGTAATTAGGGAAATTATTAGTAATCACCAACTGTAATCGTGGAATTCATTAGTAATCACGGGTAATCGATTACAATCGGTAATCAGGGTGTCACCCAATTCGTCTGTGAATACCCCCTTGAGTCTGTTGGGAAATTACACTGGCAATTACGAGTAAAAACATTAATTTCCTCAGGTTTTCATTGAAAAAATATTTGTTATTTAGAATTAAACCCACAATTTCGTGGAATTATTTAGGTAATTGGAATTTTTATTGACTGCTTTTAATTGAAATTAAATTCAAACTCATAATTGAAAATTCAGAAGAATTTGAGACTGAATTTCCCATAAATATGTAACAGTGTATTGATATTCCAATTATTTATTATTTCATCGACTTTATTTTTCACGATATTGATTAAATTATGATATTTCAATTCGAGCATAATAAAATATGATTATGAGAATATTATTCATAAAAATGAATCGATTCGGAAGCCTGCAGCAACTTTCTACCCCGATCCTATCACACGCCTGTGACATTCAGAAGCTAAATTCAATTTCATTTCGCATATCGAAATTCTATTTACCGATCACCGCACACAAATGACATTTATATTTGAATGTAACTTCAATTTATCAAAATATCCAATCATTCCCTCATTTCCTTGAACATAAGATGGAAAAAATAAAAAAGGAAAAAAGGAAAAAAAAATGATCGACTCACATATGTGCACGCAACTGTGGGAAAGCCTTTCGGTGATTCTTCGCAGGGGTTGACTCAGATCGATGTTGACTGACGGAGAAACTAAAATGGGGGGTATATATAGGTTAAATGTTTTACCACTGGTTGTTTGGAGAAACAAATTCATTAGCACTTGGTATTCGCCACAACACAGTCGACTGTTATCAGTTACTCCCACCACCAACCGAAGTTTTGTCACGTTTTGCTATTCATAAATATCAACATTCAACAGCTTGACTTACCGTGCGAACAAATAATAGTATGAAATTGTTGATAATGAGATCCCTGATAATATTGCGTGAACATTTTAATTCCAAAACGGAATCAATTGGACAACGGATAAACGAATGAATTATTCATGTCCTTTTCCTGCTCCAATCATTAATAATAATAACAATATTTTTTAAAATCATCTTTAATAAATAATTAGTATTTATCAGATTTATTTTGTTGGCGAATTTTATTGTTTAATTATTAATTGAAATCCTTAGTTAGTCGTTAGTTCCAGGTATAAATTTGGAGGCCATTCGACCTTGGCATAATTATGATAAAATATGTAAATATTGAAGATAGCGGGTTATCATCAATCTGCATGAATATTAAGAACAGGAAAAAGGAAACGTAATTTCAAAAGTTTAAAAAATTGTGTACTCTAATGATTTAATGTCATATTGTTCCTCTATCAGAACGTTTTTTTTACGTTTCACCTTTCCGTCCTAATCGAGAGTATATTATGTACCGTATCATATATGCATAAAACAGTGTACATGGAATGATTTTAATATGTATTCGTATCGTGAACGTGAACACGATTAACCGTGAGATAGACATGGTGAGGTAAGCATTCACCTTCGTCTTCGGGATGCTGTCCTCTCCGTGTGAACCTTTCTTTCGATGGAATACAGGTGCCCCTGTATCGAGGGCTACGCTAAAATCATATTGTCACGGCTCTTTGTTTTCTTCTACTAAGTAAATATGTATGAAAGGTCATGTGGTAGTGAAAAAATTGTACGTCGATTTTTTTATACGAAATTTCATGCTGGAAGTGCATGCTGATTTTTATGTGACATTATATCTAGATAAAGAAAACTGAAATATTATCCGACAATTGCATGTGGATTTTAATTCAGAGTTACCTGTTGAAATCGCATGCTGAATTTTGATGCCGGAATTTCATGTCGGAATTCTCTGTTAGAACCGCATGCTGATTTTTATTCGGAGTTGTTTATAGAAATGGCATGCTGAATGTTAATGCCGGAATTTCATGTCGGAATTCTTTGTTGGAACCGCATGCTGATTTTTATTCGGAGTTGCTTGTTGAAATCGCATGCTGATTTTTATTGGAAGTTACCTGTTGAAATCACATTCTAAATGTTGATGTCGGAATTTCATGTCGAAATTCTCTGCTGGAACCGCATGCTGATTTTTATTAGAAGTTGCCTGTTGAAACCACATTCAGAACGTTAATGCTGGAATTTCATGTCGGAATTCCCTGTTGAATTATTGAAATATTCGAAGTTACTTGTTGAAATTGCATTCCGAATGTAAATGCTGGAATTTCATGTCAGAATTCTCTACCAGAATCGCATGCTGATTTTAATTCGGAGTTGCTTGTTAAAATTGCATGCTGGAATTCCACACTAGAATTTCATATCTCCCATTTACAAAAATGAATCGTCCTCCCACCGAAAACTGTTCTTATTCCCTCAATTCAAGGTTAATTTCCAAATAAATACACATGGCACCGCAGGCTGACATGATGATTCGATTAAAGAAATATTCGAAGTTACTTGTTGAAATTGCATTCCGAATGTTAATGCTGGAATTTCATGTCGGAATTCTCTACCAGAATCGCATGCTGATTTTAATTCGGAGTTGCTTGTTAAAATTGCATGCTGGAATTCCACACTAGAATTTCATACCTCCCATTTACAAAAATGAATCGTCTTCCCACCGAAAACTGTTCTTTTTCCCTCAATTCAAGGTTAATTTCCAAATAAATACACATGGCACCGCAGGCTGACATAATGATTCGATTAAAGAGGTCATTACATGTAAATCTGACCCACGGGACACAGTGCACAAATACACATGCTATTCCCAACAGGGAGTCATGTGAACGAAGGTGCACTGGCGAGTTTAACTTCATTGCGAGAGTGCGCACGGTGCCCCATCCTGGAGTCTTAATATAATAATATACACGGCGGCGTATTATGGCAGGACGTGATTATATGGCGGTCAAAAAACGTAACAAGGTAATATACCGGTGGGATACACCATTGGAACGTGTATGCTGTTGGTACCCCAATGGGTGGCTCTCGTTGGGTTTCGTCCGTATGCTGATGGCCGAACGGTGTTATATCTTTCTCTTTATTATTCATTCTGCCTCATCTTCCTTGATTCACTGGTTCGCCGAGACGCCAGGCTCCGAGGTTGGGGTCATACATGGGCTTTTTCACCTTCATTAGGCGCGTCGGGTTATTAAAATCATTTGTGAGGGATGGGCCACATTATTTTACTGCATTTCTTTCGTTCGACAATTAATGAGAAATTAAATGAAATGATTATTCTAAAATGAAGGGCTCATGCCACAAAATGTTGAGATGAAATTCCATAACGAAATTGCATCTCAACGGAGGGGGTATTCATAGGGGGAATCGCAGTATCACTCCCTGTGGTAATCACTCGTAATCGCAGAAACATCAGGTAATCATTGGCAGTCAGTCTTTCTTTTTTTTTTTTTTTTTTTTTTAATGCTTTAGAAACCCTATTTGGGTTTATTAGCGAATCTACATATCTACATATACTGATTAGTCAATAGATATCAATTGTTATATCTTTAAT